ACTCTCATTTCTCCTGTTCCTCCTCAAAAGTGTTTTGCTTATGACCACTGCCTCCCCCAATCTGCTCTCCCTTCCATCAACCTTCCCCCTTCTCTTAACCCCTTCCCCTCCTACTTACCTGTAGGTTAAGATAGATTTCTAGACCCAACTGAGTGTGTATATTATTCTCTATTCAAGCCAATTCTGATGAGAGAAGGTTTAAGGGCTCTCCCCTACCTTCCTCGTCACCCTTTCCACTGTAAAAGACTTTTATTGCTTCTTTTATGTGAGATAATTTACCTCATTCTACCTCTCCCTTCCTCCTCCTCTCAGTGTATCATTCCTTTTTCACACCCAGTAACTTTATATTTTTAGATATCATCCCAGCATATGTGCCCTCTGTCTACGTATATTCCTTCTAACTGTCCTAATAAAGAGAAAGTTGTTAGGAGTTAAAAGTATCATCTTCCCATGTAGGAATATAAACAGTTTAACCTTATTGAATTCCTTATGATTTCTTTTTCCCATTTAATTTTTTTATGCTTCTCTTGAGTCTTGTATTTGAAAATTAAATTTTCTATTCAGCTCTGGTCTTTTCATCAGGAATGCTTGAAAGTCCTCTCTTTCATTAAATATTTATTTTTCCCCTGAAGGATTATACTCAGTTTTGTTGGGTAGAGGGATTCTTGGCTGTAATCCAAGCTCCTTTGCCCTCTGGAATATCATATCTCAAGCCCTCTGATCCCTTAATATAGAAGCTGCTAGATCATGTCTTATCCTGACTGTAGCTCTGTGATATTTGAATTGTTTCTTTCTGGCTGTTTGCAGTATTTTCTCCTTGACTTGCGAGCTCTGGAATTTGACTATAATATTCCTAGGAGTTTTCATTTTGGGATGTCTTTCAGGAGGTAATCAGTGTATTCTTTCAATTTCTATTTTACCCTCTGGTTCTAGAATATAGGGACAATATTCCTTCATAATTTCTTGAAAGATGATGTCCAGGCTCTTTTTAAAAAAATCATGGCCTTCAGGTAGTCCAATAATTCTTAAATTGTTTCTCCTGGATCTATTTTCTAGGTCAGTTATTTTTTCCAATGAGATATTTTACATTTTCTTCTTTTCTTCTTCTTTTGATTTTGTTTTATTGTTTCTTGATGTCTTATGGAGTCATTAACTTCCACTCGCCCAATTCTAATTTTTAAGGAATTATTTTCTTCAGTGAGCTTTTGTATCTCCTTTTCCATTTGGCCAATTATACTTTTTAAGTTCTTTTATTCAGTGAATTTTTGTATATCTTTTACTATTTGGCATATTCTGCTTTTTAATATATTATTTTCTTTAGGGTTTTTTTGTGCCTCCTTTACCAAGCTATTGACTCTTTTTTCATTATTTTCTTGCATTGCTCTCATTTCTTTTCCCCATTTTTCCTCTATCTCTCTTCTTTTATTTTTAAAATCCTTTTGGACCCCTTCCAAGAATTCTTTTTGGGCCTAGGACATTTTTCCTTTGAGACTTTGCATATAGCTGTTTTGACTGTTGTCTTCTTCTGGGTTTGTGTTTTGAACTTCCCTTGTCACCAACAGTAACTTTCTACAATCAGGATCCTTTTTGTTGTTTGCTCATTTTCCTGCCTATTTCTTGACTTTAAACTTTATGTTAAAGCTGGGCTCTGCTCCCAGGATGGAGGGGGCAGTGTCCCAAGCTTCAGCTTTTTCATGCTTTTATTTTCTGGGCTAGTTCTGGAGGTCTGTAAAGTTTTTAGTTCTTCAAAGGTGCTATGATTTAAGGAGAGGTGTGGTCACAGCTCTTCTGGCCTGTGCTCTGGTCTGTGAGTGACCACAAGTACTCTTTTCTGCCCTGGAACTGTGACCAGGGTCCCCACTTCCCTGTTTCCAAATGCTGTAGTGTTCAAGTGCTCTTCCTCCCCCTGAGACTACAACTTGAAACCTCACATAGGCAATGCAACAGAGTTCTGTGCCCACTGCCAGCAAAGTGTGGCCTATAATCTCCTTCTGACCATTGGTCCAACCCCCTTACTGTCTGTGGGCTGAGAGCTCTGGAAGCCACTGATGATGCCTATTCAGTCACCCCAAATGCCTGCTGCTGGCTTGCTGGGGCATGGCCTATGCTGAACTTCACTCCACTCTCAAAACCCCAGTGAGACAGACCTTTCCTGCCAACCTTCTAAGCTGTCTTGGGCTGGAAAATTGTTTCACCTCAGCCTGTCCATTCAGCCACTCTGGAATTTGTTCTAAGGTGTTGTTTGGAGGAAAATTTGGGACAGCTCAGACAAGCCCCTGCCTTTATTCCAACATCTTGGCTCCCCCCTGCTTTTTTTTTTTATTATGATAATCTTAGTTGAATAGAATTGGTTTTCTTGGGCAGCTAGGTGGCATAGTGGATAGAGCGCTGGCCCTGAAGTCAAGAGGACCTGAGTTCAAATCGGGCCTCAGACCAAACACTTGACACTTACTAGCTGTATGATCCTAGGCAACTCACTTAACCCCAAGTGCCTTAAAAAAAAAAATTGGTTTTCTTCATAACCCTATTGAGACAAAACTCCCAAGAGACAGGGTTTCTGGGTAATTAATAATATGTTTATTTATTGGGCTAGCTGGCAATCAATAAATTGATAGCTAATGGTTTCTCTCAGTAACCAAAGACATCAAGGGAGACCCTGAAATGTTTTAAATTCCCTCTGAAAGGGAATTCCCCAGACAAGTGAAAATCAACCTTGATTAGTGGACTCAGCTCCTCCAGTGGAGAATGTGGGTTGATCATGAGACTCAGCAGCCTCCAGAAATCTGAGCAGGGGAAGCCATTTTCATCCAGATCTCTCACAATCTGAGTCACCCTAAACTCTAGTGGATGGGACCAAGAACAGAGGTTCCTTTCCCCAGGGTAAGGGCTTGCCTGGACTGAATTCTATTTATACTCTAAATAGAAATGAGGTATCCTAGTTAGATGGGGTCCAGTCCAAGACTGATAAGCATGTTCCCTGAGGGCTAGGAGCAGTCCCATCAATCAGCCATGTCCTTCAGAGACCGATTGACCTTAACAGAAGTTGTGCCTTTCCTAAACATAAAAAGAAAAGGGTAGATCACAATTAATTATTAGTTATTAATATAATCATATGATATTAATTTCTTTCACTATGTATTTTACTTTATGCAGTTAAAATCATCATTGTGAGGAGAGTTATCAGACTACTAAAGAGGTCCATGACACACACACACACAAAAAGGTTAAGAACCTCTACCCCAAACTCACCAGCCTAGTCCCTCCAAGGGCTTGAAATTCTTCTAAACTCAGACCTATTGACACTTCTAGGTACATCCTACACTTACCCTGCTGAAGACTTAGCTCCTCCCACTCCATCTTCTCTCTCTGTATATATTCTTACCACATAATCAGCACTCACTCCTGGGTATGTGCCAATTTGATCAGCACTATACCAGCTGTATCACTTGTCTGACACCCATTAATACTCTGATGAGATACTTATAGCCAAGTAAAATCAAGGCAACAAGCATATCAAGTACCTGCAATGAGCCAGCAACTGGCCAAAAAAAAAAAAAAGTACTGCTGCATTCAGCTTCCCTTCCATACTGATACTTAAATAACCCATCCTTAAGCTATATAAAGTTCCCCCCCACTTGTAGATACCACATAATTCTTTCCTAGATCCTCTTCCCATATGACACCAAATGAGATGCAGCTTCTATGAAAATGGCTATAACCAATTGGGGTTTTGTCCACTTGGGCCTGTAATCCCAAATCCACTTTCAGCCAATTAAGAAGTTTCCTAGTCACTAGCAGACTTGTGGTGATCCTTGAGATTCACCCCTTCCTTAATCCAAAAAGATGAGGGAAAAGACTTCATAATGGATATTACATTATTAGAAGCATTAGTGCCTCAGACTCATGAAGGCATAGGTTAAATCCCACTTTTGCCAAACTGACTGTATTATGTTGGGCAACTCAATCTCTTCTCAATGTCTCAGGCGACTTTCTAAGACTGTAAGTCACCAAGTAGGTGCTGATTTGTATTGGTAGAAGTTGCTCACCAGGAGCTCCCAAAACCAACAAAATCATTGGTTGAAATCATTAGCCTGGTCAAAAAGAAAATTATTCCTATGGTTCCTATGATCCAGAAGAAAAAATAAGGATAGTTCTACCCAATAGTCACTTCACTCCCAAAGTTTCTCAAAATACACACTCCTTTCTTCATAAGTATTCCATGAAAAACTTCACAGTTTTGAATGAATGAAATAACATTAAGCTGTTAAGCAGGGGGAATGCAAACAGAAGACAATCCCTGCTCTTGAGGAGCTCAATTCTAATACAGAGAAACATTTATAGAAAGGTTCTGTTGCAGGGTGAAGAGAAAGACCCAGGAGTCCTTAGAATACACAGGGTATCATATGAAAGGGTACCTAGGGAAGTTCAGCCCACTTTGGAAAGGGGGAGTGATTCTAATTGGGGTAGCTAGATGGTACAACGGACAGAGTACTGGACCTGAATTCTGGTGGGCTTCAAGACACTGTGTGAAGTCACTTAACCCTGTTTGCCTCAGTTTCCTCATCTGTAAAATGAGCTGGAAAGGGAAATGGCAAACCACTCCATTATCTTTGCCAAGAAAAACCCAAAAGGGGGCACAAAGAGTCAGATACAACTGAAAACAACTAAACAACAACAACAGTGATTCTAAAAGTCAGATGAAAGATTCGGTCTAGCAAGATTAGGGATGGGAAAGGAGGGGTAGTCAGTGTTAGGGAAAGGAGGAATTGGAAGGAAGGTTGGGGTAGAAACTGCGTGTCCTGGGGAGGAAGAAGGGCAGGTTTTTGCCATCTTACAAGGTCAGCAAGTTCCTCTAGGAAGTAAAAAGGTTTCCCCCTTCAAATCAGGGACTCCCTGAGGGCAGGGGCCATGTCTTTTTCTTATGAACTTCATAACCTACCTGCTGTAAGCCTAAGTGGTACGGAACTTTTGAAGTTACCCCACCTTATTCTTTGATTTAGGAGCCAGGGAGATGCCAGAAGCACAGCCGCACCCAGGTAAAATGAATAAAGTAAGGAAGTCATCTTCCATAAAGGAGAGTGAAATAGGGAAACCAGAGCAGGAAACCTCAGCAGAGAAGAAGGTGGCGGCAGGAAATGAATCTAAGCAAATGAAGAAAGCATCAAAAGCAACCAAAGAGTGGAAGAAGATAATGGCAGCAAAGGCCGCAGCGAAAACAATCGCCGCCGTGACAAGGGAACAAAGATCAAAGCACCAAAGCCAGTGGGGGGAGCCTACCGCGCAGAAGATGGCCACATTTCTGAAGAAGTACCCAGATGACCTGATGCGCAAGGACCTGACTTTCTTATCTCCAGCCGAGGCAAAGCGCTACTTGCTTTTTGTGGAACCCAAGAGGGCTGGCTCCACGGAAGTGCTCAGCAGTGATTCGATTGATAGCATCAGCAGCAGTCAAGGCTGCAGGCAGTGGGAGCTTCCTGAGAAGCCAGAAACGGAACAGCAGAACCGCCTCATTGGGGTGCTGAAGGCTTCTGAGGCTCGAAGCCGAGTCCGAGCGCTACGACTCCGATATACACGGATGAGGGTAAGGGATGCAGGTTAGGCACCAACAAAAAATCTCTTACTCCAATGGAAGCTTCTTAGACATTACCAAGGACCCTTTTCGGGGAGGAGGATGGGAATATAACAAGGTTTGCCCACTTACCCACCACCCCACGTGTTGTGAATCCTAGATTCTTCACACCAGCCATCCCTGGGATAGCCTCAAGTCTGGGAGGTTGGGGTGGGAGGAAGGGGGTGGCTTGGAACAAACAGGCACAGGATTCAAGGTCCCAGTCCTGGGGGAACATGGTGGGAGGATGCCCCCCCACAGGATGTGTGTCCCCAGAAGAATGGGCACAACAAGATGCAACATTGTCTTGGGTGGGGGGGGGGTGTTGGGTCCACAGGCCGAGGAGATAAAGCACCTGATTAGCAGGCAGAAAACAGCCCGGGCAGCAATCCGACTTGAACTATTCCTGCCCCCTCATCTGAACCCCATGAAGATCCCGGACTGTCTGGACGGACGTGAGGTGCCCCAAGCCCCAGGGAAGCGGGGAGGGAATGCTATAGGTGGGACCCCAGCGAAACAGGAGATCCTTGGGGAAGGGATAAATAGGTAGAGCATGTGATATAACTCAATTTATACAATTGGCAGAGTCTTGAAAAATAGTGTAAATTGAATAGTGTAAATTGAATCTTGTTGACCCAACAAATGCAGTCCTGTCCCTAATCTCATTGGCTTAAATCTAGTTTGCCTTTTGCTTAAAGAAGGACCAACCTTTAACCACCCCCAGGATTCCCTACCCCAACCCGGGTAAAGCCATTCAGAGAGGGGAGATGAGCTAGAATTCAAGAGGACTATGAGAGAGCAGTATTTTGCTTTAAAATGTGCCTTTTGTACATTGGATTTTGGTCATCCAGGATTCCCTGGGGCAAGCTCTCCTCCTCAGTCTTCCTCCTAAACCCCAAGATTTCTCTTGATTTCTACAAATTCATAACATATTGATTTGGGCAGGAGGACAAGAAGGTGGGGAAAACATTACCATTCCCACAGTTGTTTCTGTTCTCTCAGGCTCTCTGGCTTCCTCCCAGTTGCCCCAATTCCCCCTTAGTCCTGTCCCCTTAATTAACTCTTGTTCTCCCTGAGACATTCCTGTCACCTCAGTCACTCTTGTCTTTCAAATAGACTCTACTTCTTCTGTCACTTCTCTCCTCCTGAGTTATTACTGTCCCCTCAGTCATACCTGTTCCAGTCATTGATGGCCAGCCCCTTCTTGTTACTTCTTAACCCTCAGGCTCTCTCCAGTCTCACTTTATGCATTCCTGTCCCTTCTCTTTTATTCTGATTGCTCCTGAAACTGCAAATCACACTTGTCACTCCTATCCCTTCAATAACTCCCCATAACTCCTCATCCATTCCTGTTACCCTGAGCCACACCTGTCTTCCAAAGTCAGTCTTGTCACCTCAACCATTCTTGATTGCCTTCATTCACTCTTTCCCCTCTTCAATTATTACTGTCATTTCTCAGTCACACCTACTCTTCTCAGACACAGCTGTCTCCCTTCAGTCATTCCTATTCTTTAGTTACTATATTCCTGATCCCCATTTGGTTTCTTCTGTCTCTCCAACTTCCCTTCCCCACCACCCTAGAGGCGTCGTGTAGAGGCCATCCTGCAAGAAGACAACATCCATCCGCTGTTCAGATGATTTGGAGGAGACAGCTGGAGATCATTTTCCCTACCACTTCAAGCTTTGGACCAAAAAGAAAAAGAAAAAAATGAGAGAATTCTTTCCACCTGAGACTTTTGTCTTCTATCATAGTGTTCCCTTACGGCATGCCTAAGACTCTTAATTTTGTGACTATAAATTGAGTACCTGGGTCAGGTATACCCCCATATTCTGGCTTCAGCACCACACAAACAAGCCTTCTTGGCCCAAAGATCACAGATACATATAGCAGATACAGGCACCAGACAGCACTTTGCTGAAATCTAAATCAGAATGCTATTTAAAAAAAAATACATGGATTTCATCAGAATATCTGAAAAAGTCTTTTATACCATCCTTATGAATAAGGAGGAAAGATAAGGGCTATATGACTATCCCAAACTAAATTTGGAACTAACCAAATGACTGGACCCAAAGGGTAGTCCATTTAATGGAAAGTCTCAAGAGAAATCAATCCTGGGCCTTGTACTATTTAATATTGTTATCAGTGATTTGAATAATACCATAGAATCCTGATCAAAAGAGCTTTGTAGATGAGCTGAAGCTGAGAGAGATAGGTAATAGGTTAGATGCCAGAATCCGAAAAGAGCTCCACAGGCTAGAATGATTGGGCCAAAACTAATGAGATGCAGGTTAATAGAGATAAATGTAAATTCTGAAACAAGTCCCCAAAAAATAAAATACACAAATCCAGAAGTAGGGGGAAACTTTTCTATACTACAGTTCAAATGGGGGGAAATAAATCAAAGGTTCTAGTGGATACAATTCAATATGAGTCAACAGAATGACATGGCAGCTAAAATGGCTACTGTGATCTTGGAGCAAATTCACAGAAGTAGAGTGTCTCCAACGAAGTGAGTCATATAGTCCAACTCTATTCCACTCTAATGTAGTACTGATGTGATCAGTGCCCATCTGGTCCTGGGCACCAGATTTTAGGAAGGGCACTGATAAGTTAGAGTGTGTATAAAGGAGAATATGAGATCATACTCCATGAGAATCAGTCGAAATACCTGGAGATGTTTACCCAGGAAAAGAGAAGACTTACGAGGAACATAACTTTTCAAATATTTGAAGATCTGCCCATGTCAAAGACAACTTTGACTGCTTAGCCAATCTTAGAGAACAGAAATATGAACAACAGGTAGAAGTTTCAGGGGCAGATCCCAGCCCAACAATTAGAGCTATCCAAATGCTGAATGGATGCCAAAGGATCACATTTCCCAAAACTAGAGGTCTTCAAACAGAGGAAGTCCTTCCAACTTGAAGATTCTATATGATTCTCTTTCTGTGTCTTGTTGTTGTTGTTGTTGTTGTTGTTGTTTAGTTATATCTGACTCTTTGTGACCCTGTATGGTGTTTTCTTAGCAATTTCCTTCTCCAGTAGATTAAGACAAACAGAGGTTAAGTGGCTTGCCCAGAGTCACACAGCTAGTTTGTGACTGAGGCTGGATTTGAATTCAGGTCTTCCTGACTCTGAGCCTAGCACTCTATCTACTGAGCCACCTAGCTGCCAACAACAACAACAACAACAACAAATGATTCTCTTCTTTCTCTGGGTGTCTTGGTTGTCTTTGTGTTATTTAATGTTCAACTCCTTTGCTCTCTGAGGCCTCTGCTGCCTTTGGCTTCCATCCAAATCCACAGTTGTTTTCCAAGCTCAGAAACAGAAGAGTGTTGGGAGGCCCCTTCAGTTTAGAGGGAAGGAGAAAGATTCTTTTTATAACTACTGAGGACAAGAGGAAGAAGGAATGGGAAGGGAATGGGGGTGAGAAGAATAGATTTCTGGATTCAGGAGAACCTAGGTGAGGAGGGGAAGGTACAATTCTGCCTTCAGGGAGCTTCCAGTAAAACAGGAAACCAAGTTACCTAATTCTAGGAATTTGTTATGAGACAACCCCAAAGATTTCCTCCAAAGAGATTCTGCCCCTCAACTGTAGATCAACAAACATTAATTATTACAGGGCATCATGCTAGGCTATGGATACAAGAACAAAAGGCTTTTTCATACTCCTGGGTTGGGGGCTTGGGAAGGAAATATAATATATACATAGATAAGCAAGCACAAATATAGTAATGTCAAAAGAAAGAGTACAACAGGAAGGATTGTGAAAAGCATTCTATAGTATATAGTAGGTGATTCTATAGTAGGTGATGCCTGAGCAGCAATTTGGGTAAGGGGAGGAGGGAATGTAAAGATTTGGAGGCAGGTAATAGAATGTAGGCTAGTTTTGCTGGAATGGAGACTCTGTGAAGGGCAAAAATCATAAATCAAACTGAAAAAGTAAGATATCAATAGTAGAAAACTTTTTAACTGTCAGGCTCAGGATTTTGTATTTTATCCTAGAGGCAGTAGGAAACCACTAAAGTGTTTAGGACTGACATAGCCTGATACATGCTTTGGGAATGTCAGTTTGGTGGGAGGCTAGATTGGTTATGGGAGAGAATAGAAGCAGGGAGAACAATTAGTAACCTATTACAATAGCCTAAGTAAAAACTTGCAAAGCCCTGAATCATGGTAAAGCCTATGAGTAGGGGAAAAAAAGTAAAGGGGGAAAAAAATGAAGCTGTACATGTATGTTGGATGGCACTTGGCAATTGATCATATATGAGCATAAGAAAGAGCAAAGAGTCAAGAAGGAATCCAATGTTGGGGAGCTGGATGGCTGAAAGGATGATTGTATCCCCCAAAAGAATAGGGAAATGTAGAAGAGAGATAGGTCAGGGAAGAAATGAGTTCCATTTTTGACAGGCAGAATTGGAGGAGCTGGTGGTATATCCAGATAGAAATGCCTAGTAGCCAGTTGGTGATAGGAAATTGAAGCTTAAGAGATTAAGACTAGATATGTAGATTTGGGGGTCATCTGAATAGAGAAGACCCTTGGGAACTAATGAAATCACCATCAAAAGAGAGCAAAAAGAAGCATGCCCAAGACAGAAGGCTTAGGGGATGTGTCCATGCTTATTAGACAAGGTGTGGAGGAGTGAAAAAGGAACAACCAGACAGGAATAATTCCAGAAGAGAGCAATGTCTCAAAAGCCAAGTGAAGGTAAAGAATCCAAGCAGAGGGAGTGGTAGGTGGTTTTGGAAGATGCAAAGAAGTCAAGTATAATCCCTGAGAAATGGCCATTGGATTAACCACAATCTTAGATGATGAAAGGGATGTCAAGGTCCCCCTTAAGGAGATGGCAGTTGGGGGGCAGCTAGGTGGCGCAGTGGATAGAGCACTGGCCCTGGATTCAGGAGGACCCGAGTTCAAATTCGGCCTCAGACACATAACACTTACTAGCTGTGTGACTCTGGGCAAGTCACTTAACCCCATTGCCTAGCCAAAAAAAACCATAAAAAAACAAAAAAAACCAAGGAGATGGCAGTTGTGTACAGGGGGTTTTTGGGTGGTTGGTTGGTTGGTTTTTAGGATAGAGAGAGATCTGGGCATATTAACAGAAGAGGAGGAACCAATGGATAAGAGACTGAAAATAAAAGAGTAGGCATTCAAGAGTGCAAATAGTAAGGTAAGACTTGGTAAGAAGGGTTCTCTTTTTTTTCAGAGGCTGAAGCAAGAGGAAAAGATGGATGGAGAGATGGAGGGATGGTTGGTGATGAGGGATTCTGAGGTATAGATTAAGTGATCACAGAGCTCACAATGGATAGCTTCTTTTACTAGTAAAGTAAATGGCTGGTACTGGGAAGAAGAGAGAGGGAGAAAGTAGTGGATGAGGTTTGGGAAGACGGTTGGAACACGTACAGGGTTTGATTGGGGGGGGTTCCTTAAAATGGGGAAACCTGAACATATTAAGAGGGGAGGAAGAACCATTAGATCAGAAGAGACTAAAAATAAGATAGAATAGGAATGATTGAGGCAGGTGAGTTCCCAGGAGGAGATGGGAGGAGATCAGAATCAAGAGCATAAGAAAGAGGTTTGACTTGGTAAGAAGAGTCCTCTTTTTTTCAGAGACCGAAGCAAAAGAGAAAATAGATGAATAGTGGTGAGGGATTCTGAGGTGTGGATTAAGGGAGAACAGGGAGTTCTCAATGGATGACCTCTTTTTACTAATGTCAGTAAGGAGAGGGAGAGAGAGAAAGTAGCAGAGGAGGCTTAAAAAGAGGTTGGGAAGTTCAGGCTATAGTGCAATAGAAAGTCAACCAGAAATCAAAAAAAATTGTCATTGCAGTAATCAGGGCCTGGCTGAGATCAGTGTAGTGGACCCAGTTGGTCAGGTTGTGACTTCCTGAGCTACATGGGAGCAGGAGCAGAGAAACCAGTTGAGGTAACTCGGGTCAAAATTTAAGTAAGGCATGATTGAGGACAAAGGAGCAAAGGGATCAAACAGAGGGCTCAGTGTAAAATTGAATTAGTTAACCAGGGGGTCAATGTTGTGAAAGGAGAAAAAGAGAAGCCAAGGTAAGGGGCTATGGACTGGGAGAGCAGAGAGGAGCTGAGTGACAAAACTGGGTGGAGGACAAAGGAGAGAGTTCCCAAGAAACTTCCAAATGCCATTTTTTTTTGGGGGGGGATGTGAGGGGGGGAATAACTGGGCTAGAGGAGGATTTCTCAAAAGACTTTAATCCTAGGATTTAAAGTCCTTGTCTTTCCTTTGCTCTGCAATGACCCTCCCCCATCAGGCCCATTATAGTGCAGAATATGTTCAGGCAGCTGTATACAGATCACAAACTTCTACTCCAGGACAAGTGATTTTCAGAGCATTGAAATGAAGCAGAAGAGAATCTGAGGTCGAACTTCAGTTCTGCCAGAGTTTGATGGCAACCTTGAGATACATTTGAATACAGCTAGCCGAGGTGGTTCACTGAGCATACAACTCCATCGAAACTAATAAAACTGTCATCAAAAGACAGCAGATAGAAGGGTGCCTAGGACAGAGCCTTGGGAAATGAGGCCATACTTAATGGTTAAGGTTATAGTGCAGAGAGATGTGGCCACAAGCCAGGGAGACCTGGATTTCAAGGCATTATTTTAAAGTTGTTTGGAGGGGGATGTTAGGAAAGCTGGACTGTAGTGCTTTCTCTATTCTGCCATCTTGGCTCTACCTCCCAATTTCAAGTCCCATTTCTGACATATATTGGCTGTGTGACATTGGGTAAATCAACTTGTCAATGTCCCAGGAAACTCTGTTGAGACTATAAGTTACAGAGGAGTTATCTACCTGCTTTGATGGAGGGAATTTTCTTGCTTGAAAGTTCTCTATGCTAATGAAATCACAGGTCCATTTACTATCCTTAATACTTTAACAAACCTTCCCTGTCTGGAGACCTCCAATTACTAGAACAATAAGGCCATAGTTCTAGAGCTGGAAGAAGAGACTTCAGAGGTCATCTAGTCCAACCCCCTCCTCATTTTACAGATAAGGAGACTGATAAGTAAACTATACAAAGTCACATAGGTAGTAATCATCAGAGACAGAATTTGAACCTAAATCGTCTTCCTCTAGAACCAGTGCTCAGTATCAGAGACATCTTAGGTGTAAGCCTGTCTCCATCAAAGCATCTCTGAACCTACATGAACCAAAGCCCTCTTCCCACCAAAGAGGATCTGGAGATCACAGTAGAATCTAGACAGGTAGACTGAAATGTCAGGGTCCCAAGTCAAAATAATGTACCTTTGCCTCTTTATATCCCCAGTGCCCAGCATACTACCTAGCACACATTAGGCACTTGGTAAGTGGACATCAAATGTAATTGAATATTCTGCACAACAGAGTACTAATTCAACTGAACAAACATTTACTCCCACAATGTGCAAAGAAGCTAGGGAGTTTAGATGAGAATTGGCCCATTTCTTGAAGTTATATACTAGGACTCAAACAATAAAAGTGCTTTGTGGAGTGTGAAGGCAGAAGGGCCACTGCCAACTAGAGAATTTGGTAAGGCTACGTAGAAAAGGCAGAATTTAAGTTATGCTTTAAAATATGAGTAGGAATTCTACTGAGTGGGGTAAGGGGAGAGGAGAAAGGTACTCAGACTTGGGAAAATGAGAAAGTAAATTCAAGGAGTCAAAATAGTCTTTTAAAAAGCCCTTATTGGAAAGGTTAACCAATTCCTATCCCAGCCCTTTGGGAAAGGACTGGCTTCCCATTTTTCTGTCTAGAAATCCATAGCAATTCACAACCTACATTCAAAGGGGTTTTCCCAAAAGGAGGAGAAAAAAAAATGAAGGGTTCATCCACCCACCTTCCCTGCCTATTTTTCTTTCAGGCAGAGCAAGATAGAGGGAAAAAAATAGTCTTTCCGGCTGCACTAGGCTTCCCTCCACTCCCCCCCTTCCCTTAACACCTAGAACTTTCTACTCTTCCTGTGACCTAGGACAAGTAATTTCACCTCTACAAGCCTCAATTTCCCTATCTGTAAAATGAAGAGGTTGGGTTCAATCTTTAAGGGCCCACTTTCTGAGTTTGTGACTCTGTGCCAAATGCTAAGCCCCACAGGGCAGGGGAGAGGGGAATATGGAAAAATAAGCCCCACTATGAGATGGAGGAAGGAATTACTGTATCATGATTAGGCCTACTATCTCCCAAAGCTACCTTAGAGGAGGTATCTTAGTCTGATGAGATTTGCTCCTAGGGATGGATTCAGTACAGGCTATAGGGAGAGAAGCAGGGAGAAGGTGGCACAGGAGAAAGTAGGGGCTTTGTTAATCCAAAAACCTGAGGAAATAAGCTCCTACCCAATATTACCCACACACGCACCTCCTCCAGAGACCAGGTATATAATTTCCTTATTAGCAATCATTTCATTAGATTCTGAGCACCTTGACAGCAGAGCTTTTCTCTTTTCTTTGTATCCCCAGCACTTAGCACAGTTAATTTCATATAGCTTGATATTTATTGACTATTGCCAAACAAGAGACCTGGGGCCAAGATAAATTTTTTTCCTTGGAGAAACTCAGCCACTTAGAACCTTTTCCAGCCCTGTGCAGTAAATGATTAGATCCTGACCGTTTGCACCCCTCTCCCCCACCCTTTAGAGCCCCACTACTCTCCCAGTGTGAGTTGGTCACCACCTGCTGGGCAGTCCAGACATGGCAGCTTCTGCCGTCTTCCCCCTCAGACCTGTGGGATCTGCCCCCTCACTGAGACATAGAGACACCAGGATAAAGAGACCCAGACATGAACGGACACAGCGACATGAACTGAGATACGGAGGCAGACGCACAGAGAGAGGAATATGAAGTCAGAGACATAATCCCGAAGTCAGAGATGCAGAAATACGGACGAAGAAAGAGATTCAAAGAGACACGGACACAAATATAAGAAACTCGGAAGACTGAGACAAGAGTCAAGGACACAGACCACAGGCCTCAGGACCCCCTCTCCCCATCCCTTGTCCAGAACCAGCGCTGTGGAGGGGGGAGGAGGACACGCATCTCTGGGGCCATTCACCGGGAGGGGGGGCGGGGGGGGGAGAAGAAAATCTGTTCCCCGCCTCTCCTCCCACTCCACCCCGGCTCCTCCAGCGAGTCTCCGTGGGTCTCCTCCCTCACTCCAGCATCCGGTCCCCCACCCACACACCTTCACACACCCACACACCCACTTTCGCCCGGTGGAGACGAGCCCGAGAGTTATCCTGAGCCCCCGCCAAGCCTGGTGGAGGGTGGGCGAGAAGAAGAAACTCCTGGGCTGCCGAACCCCGGAGGCTGCAAAGTGAAGTCCTAGGGCGGGGGCCGGGACCGGGACGGGGGCGGAGGCGGGGGCGGGCGGGGCCCCCAGCGGTAAGGAAGTCTCGGCTCCGTCGCTTTTGGGAAGTCACTGGTGGCTGCCCTGGCGCCTGCGCAGTGAGCCCCTCAGCCCCCCTCCTCCCCAGCCCCGGGGGCGACTCCGGAGCCTGAGTCTCTGTCTGCAGCGCGGGGAGCCCGGGATCCCGGGATTCCGAGATCCTGAGACTCTGAGACTTCGAGACTGAAAGACGCTAAGTAACCCTGAGAGATCTGGGGACACGGACCCCGAGGAGCACACGGACCCCGAGACGCTGAGAGACACGCAGGCGCCCCAAGTCAGAGATACTAAGGGACACACAAGAGACCCCGAGACACAGGGACCCTGAAGAAAGATTGGGAGACCTCTGAAACGGGGAGAGAGCGCAGGCCGGGCTGTGGACGCCCCGATGGTGAGTGCAGATCTGCCCGTCCGCACTCATGCCCCGCGTGTGTTTGTTGGGAGTGGGGTGTGAGGGGGTGGGGGTAGTCTGCAAGGAGAAGAGGAGTAACGGTGGGGGTCTGCAGGGCCGAGGGGGAGGAGTCTGTGGGGGTCTGCAGGGAAAGAAGAGAGGCCTGTGGGAGTGTCTGTAGAAGGAGGGAAAGGGGAGGGGGTCTGCATTGGGCGGGGAGGGCCCAGTGGGAGTCTGGAGTGGAAAGGAGAAGATCCTGGGGAAGGCAGAGGGGCTGCTGCAGGGAAAAGGGGAGGATTCTGTGAGGGTCTGCAGCGGGACGGGAGGGGCATAAGGTAGAGGGGGGGGACGGAGGAGAAGGGAAGGGCAGGCGTTGCTACATACTGGTCACAGGTTCCCCTTTTCTGCGGTTGGGTCGGGAAGTGATTGCACAAAAGGGGTGCAGTGAGGCCCCAGGTTTCCTGGCTTCCCATGTCCCAGCCCCAGTACATCCAACCCTCCACCTGTGGGACAGGAGGGCAGGATTTCTTCCCATCCCCGGAAAGTAGGGGTTCAGAACCTCCAGGATACACTGGACTCTACTTCGTTTCCACCAAGTTCATGTGGGGGGTGACCAGGGCACCAATAATTCACTCTTTGGGGAGGAGGTGCAGCTTCATATACTGAGAGAAACACAGGCTCCAGGGTGGGAAAGAGGTCTATCCCATCCATTCCCCTACTGTGAAGACATGTGCCCCTCCCCGCTGGCAGGAAGTGTTGGCTTTCCTCTGACTGCGCTCAGTGCTTACGGCTAGAGTGCCTTTATGGCCTGAGCTGAGACTGGACCCCCACTTCCAGGGAAGCCCCCCAGGGGTTCTTTGCAAAACTGCTCTGTGCTTTAAGCTTCTCTCCTCCTCAACCACTCTAATTATGCTGGACTGTATTTCTGCTTTAATGTGGATCCTGTCCTTTGACCCATCCCCCAACTGAGGATGCTTGGGGAAAGGGTAGAAGGGGGGAGGGGGTGGAAGGAGTAATTCTCTTGAGCTGTTCCTAACCTGTTCAGTTCAATACACATAAGAGGCAGCATGGTATAATGAAAAGGATGTTGGATATGGAATCAAGAGGATGTGGGCTCAAATTTGCCTCTGCTTACTTCCTACCTGAGTGATCTTGGGCAAGTCACATTGGGCTCTCATTGGGCCTCATTTTCCTCATCTGTAAAATGAAGTCGCTGGATTAGATGATTTCTAATGTCCCTTACAGCTTAAACAGCTTATGACTCACAAGAAAGCATTTATTAAGTGCCTGTTATGTTCCAAGTCTTGTCCCTTCCCTCAAGAAGCTTTACTGTTCTATTGGGGGATACAACATGTGCCCCTTATGTCTATATAAAATAAATAAATCAAATACAAGGATATTGGGGAGGGAGGCCCTATCTGCTGGGGTAGGATCGAGAGAAAGACCTAGCAAGGAGGCAGCCCTTGAGCTGAGGCCTGAAGGAAGCCAGATTCCAAGAGGCAGAGATGCAAAGGAAGCACACACATTCCAGGAATGGGGGACACAGCTTGTGCAAAGGAGATGGAATATGCTGTGTGGAAAAAGAGCAGGAAGTCTAAGTTCAGCTAGACCATAAAAAGCAATGTGTAACAAGCCTGCTAAGGAAGGTGGGAGACAGGTTGTGAAGGACTTTAGATGCCAGATAGGAGTTTGATTTTATTTTAGAGGCAATAGGGAACCACTAGTGCTTCTTGAGCAGCGGAGTGATAGAGTCAGACCTACAGTCTAAGAATGTCACTTTGTTAACTCTGTGGAGGATGGATTGGAGAAGAAAGAGGTTGGAGACATGGAGGCTGTTGCATAGTTTAGTCAAGAGGTAATGAAAGCCTGAAATAGGGTGGTGGCCATGTTAGTGAAGAAAAAAGGAAGGGATGAGAGAGATGTTGAAGAGGTGGAATCAACAAGATTTGGCAACTGATCAAGTATATGGGGTGAGAGAAAGTGAAGAATGGAGGCAAAGTTGCAAACCTGGGTGATTTGAAGACTGGTAGTGCCCTCAGTAGAAATAGGGAAGTTGGGAAGAGGGAGATAGAAGTATCTTGCAAGGACCCACAGGTCCCCATGAGACAAATTCTGTACAGGGACAAACTTCCCCTTGACTCTAGTGTGGGCTGAATCGAGGGTGGAAGGCTCTTGGGGAGAGCTGCCTAAGGAAAGCGACACAGCCCTCCTCTCTGGGAGCCCTCAATCTAGAAACATAGAAGTTTAATCTCAGGTGCTAAGGGGATATAATAAAGCATAGATCAGAGTTGGGTTAAGTGGGATCAACAAAAAGACCCTTTGAGGGGAGAGCTAGGATAAGATCTGTGACCTGCAGAGTAGACATATCTCAGGGTCCTTTAGGATGGGGGCAGCTATGTATAAGGAAGGAGCCCAGGGCAGTTGAGGACAGTATCAGGCAGTCACGCCAACCCAAGTGTCTGGGGGCCAGCCGGAACTCAGTTTCCAGAGTCCAGTGGGGACAGTCCTCCCAGGCCTGTCACATTTTACGATTTTGTTTGGACATCGCTGACTCTAGGAATTTTCTTTTTCCTCATTTTGGAGCCAAAACCTCCCCTGAGTATGAGAGCAATTCCCTGGGGAGATTTTCCCATCCTGATTTGCCAGGACCTTTTGGTCAGTCCAGAAGGGTTACGCAGGGACCCTGCATGATCTGATCAGTGTTTTTACCCAGGGACCCTTTATGGTCAGGTTGATTGTGCTATATCATTAGATTAGTACTGTTACCCAGGTGGAACAGTGATTTTTACCCAGGGAGCCCCTGTGGTCAGGCTGCTGATGTCACTCAGAGAACCCTCCTGTGGAGATCAGGCTGTTTTTCTCCATCCATATCCACCTCAGACCTGGGATGGAGGATGCCTCTGTCCCTGCTGCAGCTTCAGAGCTAGGCCCTTCTTTAGATTTCAGCCAGGAGCCTCCACTGCTCCAATTTGTGGGAGGAACACCAAGCAAGGCATAGAAGTGACAGACAAAAAAATCTGTCCTTAGATCCTCACCACTATTAGAGCCCATCTGCAGAAGGTCAGACCCTTAATACAACGTCCAGGATTTCAGGTCATTCCTTGCATTTGAAAAAGAAACCACATTATGATGTACAGTTATAAGACAGAAGACACCAATGCCTATGGAAAAGATTTTGGGATTTTTGTGGACTGCATACTCAATTTAATCAAGTCAACCCTGGGACATGTCAACCCAAAAAGCTGTGATCTTAAGCATCATTGATAAAGACATATTCTACTCTATAGTCAGATTACTGCTTGAGTATTCGATGTTCAATTACAAGTGCCATATTTTAGAAAGGTCAAAGATGAATTTGAGGGATTCCAGAGAGTATCCAGGGTGGCAAAACTAGAGACCAAGCCATCCAGGGTAATTGGAAGGAAGTGGTTGTTTAGTTTGGAGAAGACTGGGAGGCTAGTAGGATGGTGGGAAGGGAATGATAGCTGTCTTCAGGTATTTGAAGAGCTATCAGAAGAAAAAGAAAAGCTTCTTGTTGAGCAGAGCTGTTCAAAGGTAGAATGGGCTGCTTCAGGAGGTTGTGGGTTTCCTCTTCAGGTCTTCAGGAAGAGGATAGATGTCAAAGATGTTACTTGTCAAGGATATTATAAAGGGGATTTCTATTAAGTTGCATATTGGCCAAGATAGTTTCTGAAGTTCCTTCCAGTCCTTAGATTTCTTTGATTCTCAAGATAAGAATCAATTGGGTCTTATTGGCCTCTGATAGAGAATGCTCCAAGGAGCCTAGGAGTAGCCTGATTGAGGGTAGTCAGTTGGCTAAACTCCCCCTCCCCAGTGGAGCCATTGGTTCCAGAGGTTGGGTTCTACCAAAGACACCAGCTTTGGTGGATAATAACTTTCCCACCAGGCTTAAGTTGCAACCAAGATCTTAAGGCAATATCCTCTCCCTTCACAGTTAGAGGTACTTTTAGGATTGTTGGGCCCAAAGTTTAAATCCAGGCCCCCACCCCCATCCTGTGAGCTCAGGAAGGGCTAAACTTATCCATCAGCCCAGCCTGGGCCTGAGTTGATTTAAGAGTAAAACTGGAGAGATTTGCTCCCCAAGGACAGGTAAGGCCTTCCAAGGCAAGGAGAGATGGCTTAGAATTATCTGTGCCTCAGTACAGAAAACTGATTTGCCTCTACCATTTGCCTTTAAGATCAATTCAGTTCAGTTTCAGTTCAACAGACCTTTGCTGACAGGGCACTTAAGATAGAAATAAATTAGACCCAGGTTCTGCCTTTAGGAAGTTCATAGCCTGTAGGAGTGAAAGAAAAACAGACCTAGACCCTCTCCTCAGGAAGTTTGGAAAAGGAGCAGACTCAGGCTCTGCCCTCAGGAAGCATTTAACCAACTGACAGATTATGGAGCACTTGTTGGGACGCTCTTGTTTAGGGAAAAACAAAGAAGGAACAAGAGCTTGGGTCCTTCCTTTAGGGAACTCACAGTCTGAGGAGGAACAGACCTGAGCCCTAAACTCCTGGACCTCATCGTCTGAGGGTTACAGATAAGAAATAGACCCAATCCCTGCCTTTAGGGAGGTCACCATCTAGGGGTGATAGACAGCCAACCTGGGCCCTAAACTCCAGGAGCCCACTGCCTGGGAAGAGACAAGAGTGGAAGACTCAGACTACGTGCATGGGGAACTTATAGGCCCCTGGGCCTTCAGAGATAATACATAGATACAACTATAATAAAAGGCAGGAGGTGAACATGGATGATATTCCAGTTCTGTGAAATCAGAGAGTAGCGAGATTAGTTGTGACAACCAGGGAAGTCTTCATGGAGAAGGTGGCATTTGGAAAGGTTGTATGATAAACCAAAATCATGCTGGACTTGAAGTCAGAAAGTTGAGAGACCCTGGTTTCAGATTCTGCCTCTGATACCAGTTTTGTGATAATAGAAAAGTCACTCTTGAGTTATAGTCTCCACATCTGCAAAATGGAGGCAACAAATGAGA